ATACGTAAAAAGTGTGATTGAAAGATGCAATCAAATGTTTACTAGACTTAAATAAACAACTCGATGCTCGGAGTACGAACATCAGTTAGTGTTCATAGTGTGACGCCTCATAATTATTATTAATAAATAATAATTAAATTCATTATACAGACATTTAAAAATGTCTTATAAATTATAATTTAAACAATAAAATGCAAATAATAAGCATAGAGTTCAAAAATATCCATTTGGAATATTGAATATTATATATATTAGTAAACGCATAAAATGTCTCTAAAAATCTCTAAATTTATTAAAAACCTGCTTAGCATGTTCAAAATGTATCAAATCATATAAATACAAGGCGATCATATTGCAATAACAAAGATAAATAACATTTGTAATATAATAGAAAAAATGGATTAAAGTTTTTCTAAGTTGATGAAGGTGTTCGTGTAATAATTGCAAAATTTCTAAGTTAATGAACGTGTTCTTGTAATGTTCTCTTATATTGGGGCGTTGTCGGAGACACATACCCAAGGTTACATATATATGGGGTGGTCGGCTGACCGACTGCTAGTACTAAGGTTGCACAATGACTAGTCCTATATTAGGGACTTAACATAGTAAGGTCTGACGAACCAAAGCATTAATATAGAAGGTCTCTATGATGCATAAGCATTATGATAGCAGAGTTATGACTTGAAGTCCCATATGAATAAGACATACAGTAGTATGGTCTATGAAATAAAGCAAATATGTGGAAGGTCTCAAATATGTAAAAGCATTATATTGAAAGAAATGGGACTTGAAAAGGATTATTATAGTGGCGTGTAGGTTGCTTCGCAGCCTCTGAGACCGAGGTAAACTTGGACTCACTAACCGATGTGTCCTAGACATATCATCTTAGTGCCGGTGGTAAGCGGGTTTGTTGTAGCAATACGACTTGCCCGTGGACATCGCACACCCCTACCGGTTGTGGGCGGCGTCTTAGCGCATAGCGTTATGATACGTCGGCTATCTTTCGGATTAGGGTGAGTGTGTTTGGTAGTACTTTTAAGTGCAGCAAGCATACTCAACTTCATGTCTTAGTGCAATAGCGCTATGATACGTGGAGTTTTGGCTACTGACGTCTTAGTACCGTACTACTATGATACGTTGGTGGTATTTTTAGTTAACAACATTATCAAATTTTGTTACCAAAGTCGATAGGGATCAAGTGGGTGTGTTGTGAGGGGGCGCCATCCGTATGATAGTTGCATTGATGCTTACTGCTACTTGCAGTATTGTGTCTTGTGATGGATATGCGGGTGTGCTGCACCTGATTCGACGCATCTTGTGGTTCTGGTCGATGGAGGTATGCGGGTGGTGATGTCTGCTGGGACTGTATGGGGGACCTTGGGATGGTGTAAGCCTGACGATAGTCGTATTGATGCTTGTTGCATTCTGTAGCATTGCGTCTCTACGATGGTTGTTTGGCGGGTCGCTATTCTCAATGGCGCTCTCTGCGTCTTGGTTTGACTCACAACCTAAGTAGCTTTGCCCAAGTCGGGTCCCTTCATTGCGGGGCTGCAGACTGTCTGCCCTCCATGATGTTTTATATAACAACTTAATAATATATCTCTATAAAATTCCCACCTTTGAGAGATTGAAGGCAACTTGTTGGTGGGTGAGACAAACATGATCGAAAAATGCATATACTCAACGTCAGTGACACAAACCCTTTCTGATGGCGAATTATTACTATTATCTTATAAATGCCTATTGGCTATATCTGCCATTGTATTGGTTGGTGGAGCATATGTGTCGACCTCATGCGGGTGGTAGCTGGAGGGAGAATCTGAGGAGGCTCTCAAGGCTGCGGCCGAAAGCCGCGCAACGTGGGACCCCATTCCCTTGAGGTGAGCAGTAGACTCATGACACGCTCTGCGGCCAATTGGCCGTGCTGACCATGCAATTGGTGGTGATGGCTTACACTTACATCACGTCTGCAGAAACGGCGGTCTGGCAGGTGGTGGCGCTCACGGAGGGCTTTTTATGGTCAGTCTGCCGATTGTTGCCTAACCCGTGTGACGTACATTTCACTGTGGCTGGATTTGATCGTATTCTGTATGGCGTTTACACGCATTGACATGCGCGACTTCGGTCGATGTTTGTGCTTACGCACTGTCAAGGGGCCAAGTCCTCTTTTACTGGTTCGCCAGTTATTTTGCTGTGGACTACGGTCCAGTTCCCAACTTTGCGTACCCTTCGGGGGGAGCGCATTAAAATGGTTGGCGCTCACCGTGCGCGGCGTGTGTGGGGCCGTGTACCTCCTCCACATTTTTTTTAAAATGTGGGAGAGCGAAGCCCTTGTAACTGGTATTTGATATAAATATTGTGAGCCTTTTCCAAGCGGGAAGGGATTAATTAATAAGGAATTGACTGTTGTGAACCAGATACAAGTGGAATAGGGACAATTTATTGTTCTTAACCTTTTTGAGCTCTGTCTTCGTGAACGGGGTTCTTTAGCTTATAAGACTCTACCAACAGCTTTCGATTGCTCTCGTGAATATTCATTCTTCCAAGATACACCTAAAAGAACTAAGTTACTATACAAACACAACGTAAAAAAGGGTCCTAACTAAGACGATCACGCCATAAATTTATTAAACGGCCTATATTTAAACCTTTAGAAAGATCAAGTTATACTGGTCACGTAAATTAGATATATTTATATATCTTACAGATATAGATTCTAAAGAAATACAAGTATAAGTGGATATATAGTAAAAGAGAAAAAAGATGGGGGGGGGGGGTTCGTTACAATAGGTAGGTATTTTTTTAACATAAACAATTGTGTATTGTCGTCTTTTTTTGGCACTAATACCTACCTACAGTTGTGTCAAGCGGCGGCGGCGTTAACTCATCTTAAACGCGAGCGATTACTTACTGTGATAGCAAGACCCTCAAAACCTATACCTACGTTAGCGACTGCGTGAGTTCGTGTATTTATACAGTGACCACAAAATTATTATAACTAATTTAATAAATAATCAATGCATAAATACGTTTAATTAAAAAGTCAGTATATGTATAATGATTATAACATAATGTTACGTGCTTGGGATTCGTGACAATTAAAAAACTGCGGATTGAATAACCAAAATTGACACTTTAATTACAGAATACTAATTACAAAGTAAAACCACACTAATAATAGAAGTCTTTTTAAAACTCTACTTCTAAAACTCACTTTAGTTCGCAGTTATTTCGCTTCTAAGTATTCGCTTGTATCGCCAATTCAAAACTCACTCGGTCGTGATCTATACCGGCCATATATAGGGTCTCAGATAGTTTCCAGAACCTTCTACTGTAGCGACATCTACAATGTTCGAGCACGAAATTTCTAGAAGGATTTTGATTCTCCTAGTTCTGCTACTCAACACTAGAGGGCGCTAGTAGTAACTAGTGTTGCCATGTACAAGACATTACTAGTGGCGCGCAACACTGCCCGCTCCTAAGACATGCTCATCCCTAGCATTATTGGCCCCAAAATAACCCGCCAGTCGATCCACATGGACGATCTTAGGAGTACCTCTCTGGCACCTTTCTGTATCCGGTAGGTTACGTCATTAATCCTTGTCACTATCCGGTGCGGTCCGTCCCATTTAGCTTGAAGCTTAAGAGATTTCCCTTTGCTGCGAACTGGATTGTGTAACCACACTAGTGAACCTTCGTCAAACCCTTTGTTGTTCATTTTGTGGTCATACCGTGTTTTCATCTTCTCAGACGTTTGCATGCCCGTCTGTCTGACGTGCTCATAAATGTCATTCATTTTGTTCCGCAAGTCATTTTCATAATTGATTATACTGCTTGGAGCATCAGGTGGTATTCCGGTGATCAGGTCTGCAGGCAAGCATAATTCTCTCCCAAAGTTTGCGAAAGCTGGCGTCACTGATGTTCTTTCGTGAATAGCGCTTGGATATGACAAAAAAAACGGTTGCATGTGCCTGTCCCAGTCTCTTTGCCGTTTTTCCACAACTTTTGCTAGGTATCTATCCAATGCCTGATTAAATCGTTCTACCATTCCATCAGATTGTGGGTGGTAAGAAGTTCTTCGTGTTTTATGAGTACTCGGCAAGTTTCCTGGAATATTTGAGACTCAAAATTCCTTCCTTGATCTCTGAAGTGAATCTCTGAAGGTAATCCAAAACGACATAATACTTCATGAACTAGTTTATCTGCAACTGTTGAATCTTCTTGATTTGGAATGGCGAAGACTTCTGGCCACTTAGTGAAGTAATCAATCACAACCATGAAATACTTGTTACCGCTTTCAGTTTTCGGAAACGGCCCCGCAACGTCAATGGCTACCCTCTCCCATGGTGCACCAACATTGTACAATTTCAGTCCGCCTCTACTACGAATTTCAGGTCCCTTTACAGCCGCACAACTTGTACATTTGCGGCACCAGTCCTCGACATCGACACGACAGTGGACTCAGTAAAACCGTTCTCGGATCTTCAGTAGAGTTCGTTTAACTCCCAGTTGGCCTCCTGAACAACCACTATGGTACAGCTGTAGAACATCCGGTACTTTAGCCTTAGGGACAACCATTTGCAAATGACAACTGTCTCCTCGACCATTTTCCCATTTACGGCACAGGACTCCATCCTGAATCAGCAAGCTGTCCCATTGGGCCCAATAGCTTTTCGTGGTCGAACTCATTGCTGAACGTCGCTCCACTTGGGCTTAGGAGCACTAGCCTTCATCCATTACAGAATCGGCTTAATGTCCGAAAGGTCCTGCTGTGCACGTTGTAGGCTGTCTTTTCACTCATTGCTGAGCTGGTCTGTCTTAAGTATCCTCACAGGTACCATTTCCTTACCCTCTTGCCTAGTACAATGCTTGCAATCTTCAGGTCAAGGTCTTCTTGAAAATGCATCTGCATTGCTATGAGATTTCCCGCTGCGATGTTCGATCACAAAGTCATATTCCTGCAGTAGTTCAATCCATCTCGCAACTTGTCCTTCAGCATTTTAGAACTGCAATAGCCATTTCAGTGCAGCATGGTCAGTTCGTAAGTGGAATTTCCGCCCCATAAGATATTTGCTAAAATGCTGCAAGAACTTTACCACAGCAAGCAATTCCTGTCTTGCGGCACAATAGTTCCTTTTCGGCTTTGACAACGACTTGCTGGAGTTCGCTATCACAATCTTTTGATCACCATTCCGTTGAGATAACACACCGCCAAGTACTAAATCACTTGCGTCTGTGTCAACTATAAATTCCTTGCCTGCATTAGGGTACTCCAAAATAGGTGTTTTGCACAGACGGTTCTTGAGCTCCTGGAATGCAATATCGCAACTTCATCCCAGTAGAAATGTTGCTTCTCCTCAGTTAGCTTGTGCAGAGGGTTGGCTATATCTGCAAAGTTCTTCACAAATCGCCGATAATAAGAGCACAAACCCAAAAATGCTCTAACCTGTGTCTTATCTTTTAGAACCGGCCAATCCTTGACAGTGGCAATTTTCTCTGGATCCGTGCGGATACCTTCTTCCGACACTACATACCTCAAAATGCTAAGTTGCCGTTTGAATAGGGAGCACTTCTTCGGACTCAACTTGAGGTTGGCACTCTGGATCTTCATGAGCACGCGTTGCAGGTTTTGAAGGTGTTCCTCAAACGTACGGCCAACGATGATGATGTCGTCCAAGTAGACCAGACAGGCATCTCCATTTAGCCCGGTAAGTACAAGCTCCATCAACTTTTCAAACGTTGCTGGAGCATTGCACAATGCAAACGGCATGACTTTTTATTGCCACAGACCCTTTCCTGTGGAGAATGCTGTTTTCTCCTTGTCCTTAGGGTCAATTTCAACCTGCCAGTAGCCACTTTTCAGGTCCAGCGTACTAAACCACTTTACGCCTGTAAGCATGTCGAGTGTGTCATCAATTCTTGGCAAGAGATAGCTGTCCTTCTTCGTAACGTCTTTCAGACGGCGGTAGTTAACACAAAACCGCATGCTGCCGTCCTTCTTCTTTACCAACACCACAGGTGAACACCATGGACTATATGAAGGTTCAATAACACCATCCTTCACCATTTCCTCAATCATGGTTTCCACTTCCTTTTCACGCAATTCTTCTCTTATGTTTATTTTGTGTTGAAATAACCCAGTCTTTCCTATGTTAGCTTCGTTTGACGAGAAAACATTGGCGTACCTGAGTAACAACTTCTTCGCCTTGACCATTTCATTCGGGGAGAGAACGCTACGACAGTCTTCTAAAAGTGTAGTCACTCTCGTTTGTCCACCCTTGCTGGGGTCTCAGTCGATAGACATTGGCACCGACGCAACCAATCCACTTCCTCACTAGTAACAACCAATGCGCCTTTTTGTATAATATGTTCCTGATCACAAAGGTTCAGCACACATACTCCTGAGATATCGGCGGTTCTGACCAAGGTTCGAGCCACTTTCCATAGAAGGTCATTGTCTACCCTTTCCACGAGTACACAACGAAGAGTTTACCCAGGATTCCGAGGAAGTCTAACTGGCACAATCATTTCAAATTTAGGCGGAAGAACAATCTTCTTAAGGCTGTACACATTCCTTGGTAACGCCACTTCCACGAAAAGTTCCTCTTGTCCACATTTCAAAACACCTTGCTTAACGTGGATCTCACAACAATTCTTCCTCATAAAGTCTAGGCCCAGGATGCAGTCGTCCATGATATCAGCCACGATGACATTATGCAGGTAGATCATGTTGCCTAGCTTCAACTCCATCTCCTTCTCTCCACGGTCGGGTATGCGCTGACCGGTGGCTGTAACCAAATAAATGCGTTCTCGGTTGTATGCGGAGTCTCCAAGGAACTGACTTATAAGTTGGGAACTGACAATTGTGCGAGAGGCTCCAGTGTTTATGGTCAGTTTACACGGCGTTCCGTTGACCTCACCCTTGACTAGCCTAATCTATTCCCGTCGTGGGTTTGTGAGATCGAAATCCTTCGGGCTCTTTTAACATAAGCCAGCACCCGCCCCGCGGTCCTGGCTTTTACTCGTTTCCCTGCTGCTGCTGGGCGGTACTATTAGCCGCACTACCCTCTCGAGATCGATCACCTTCCCTTTCTATAAGATTTTGTAGCCACTTAATAATATTTTACACTCATATTTACTTTTATGTTTTAAATTAAATAAATTATTTACCTTGTTATACAAAAAGGGTCGTAGATATTGACATATCGGATAAAATCATTGTCCAGCTTTCATGAAGATTGAAAGTGAATTATTCCCAGATATTTTAGAGAATGTGGGTCCATTCTCTAAAATATCTGAGAATTCTAGACTAGGACATTCATAGTTTGTTTTGGGAGACAGAATGTTATCGGAATGACTGTGGAACATTATATTCAGATTAGGAGGTAGTTTTGGAGACCGAATACTAAATTTCGTAAGCATTGTTTTATTAATGTTGAGCATGATATCATTTAGTGTTAGAAAATCGGTGACAATTCGAAAAGCACGCTGAGCTAATTTATAGGCCTTAATCTATACACCAAAGCAGTATTGTCACCGTAAGCTATAAATTTTTCCTTATCCATGCTGATTTGACACATATTGTTCACATAAACTAAAAACGAGATTGGACTTAGGATGCTGCTTTATAAAACACCGTATTCAATCCCTTCATAACTACTAATTCATTTACAATTATTTACACACTGTCCTGTCATTTAAGTAGCTTTTGAAATAGTCAAGCTGGGTGCCTGTAATAACTAATAATTCCAGTTTATTTACAAGTCTAGAGATCGAAACTACATCGAAAGCTGTAGCTAGGTCTAAGTATATAGCTAGGCATTTCATTGTGCTGGCAAAGGCATTGAAAACAAAGTCAGTGAGGTCATGTATTGCTCCATTGGCCTATTGTCCCGAACGAAAACTATATTGCCTGTTTAATAACACACTGTGCCCTTCCAAGAAATTTACAAGTTTTTTTTTATATTTTCTAACACTTTCAACAGAGATGGAAGCACTGAAATGGGCGTGTACTTGTTTAAACGATTTTTCCCCAGACTTATAAATAGATGAATGAGGGCATTTTAAGGTCAGACGAAACAACTCCTTATGTAAAACAGAGGATAAATATGAATGTGAGCAGTGGTACTAATATTTCTCTGTAACGTTTTATAATAAGATCAGAGATACCATCTACTCTAGCTGAAAAATTCGTACGAAATGAGAGGATCACTTCCTCGACGTCCTTATGATCAGTTTTTAAAAGAAAGAATAAACTTGGATTAGCATTTAAGTTAGTAGGGTTTATTTACTCTGATTATTATTTCTATAGACTTCATTCACCATATTTTTGCATTCGCCAACAAAATATCAATTAAATTTTGCTACCAATTTCAATGGGACACTTTCAGCAGAAAACTATTCTGAAGCTCGTATTTTGTGATTATTTGTAGACGATATTTCTTTTACAACTACCCAAATGCGTTTATGTTTGTTGCAGTTTGTATAAGTTCATGTCTTTCATATTGTTCTTTAACATTTTTACAAAGCAAGCAAATTATTACAAAAGATACGATACCTTTGAATGTCTTTTTCAAAAGTTTATTGTCCGGTGAGTATTTCAAATATTTACGCATAAGATCTCTGTTACGCATATATCCAAACAAACCCTGCGTAGTCCACGGCTTTTTTTGCGGAACAGAAATAATACTACTATTATCATTTACAGCTTTTCTTAATGAACTAAAAAAATAGTTCATAGCTGCCTTAGTGTCAGTGGGATTGTATACTTCCGAAAACTTTAGTACAATTATATCTTTATCCAGAGTAATAAAATAAGTTTTTGAGACTGTTCGCGACGGCCTAAATACTTTAAGCAAAAGTGATGAAAAAATATTATTTTGTATAAAAAGTGAAATTAGCATCGAAATCGAACAAATTGTGTATTAATATGGTTTTACAATGTGTTTACAACTCTTAATATATTTGTATAGAATGTCGTTTTAATAATATTTGATATAAACAACTTTAAGCATTTAAGAAAAATTCGACCAATCACAGCACGTCATATCGTAGAACTTTCTGGAAGTTTAATTAACTGCGCAATAGTTTGTACTGAAAATAAAAGGAATATTTTTGTGTTCTAAGAGTTGTAAATATGATATTTAGTTAGCATATGGTATAAAGATTGCGATAGTAAAGAAATATTTTGTATAATTAAACAATTTGGTAGTTATAGAAAAATTAAAGATTTAATGTACACATTTGTTATGAAAATTTGGTACATTTCGTTTAATAACTTTTAATAACTTAATATTAATGTATTAAATAACCTTTATCAAATACTGATAAAAGCCTATTTAATGATGTATAGCGTGTTAATGTAAAAATTAGCCTTGTATAGAAAATATTGCGATTTGTGCTAATTACATAATGAAAATGTTTAAAAATAAAGAGGCAAAACGGAAAATGGCAAACGGCTCTCTATACAGTATAATCGAAGTCTACCTTATGGGGGCAAATCCCAGTAACGTTGTAGTAGGAAGAACTACCAGTGACAAGCAGTAGTATCCGGTAGTAGCTGAAGTGACTAGTAGCAGAACATAGTGAACAGTTATAGTGAATTAGAAAAAGTTTAGCTAGCCGAAAAAGGTCGTAACTGAAAATCGCAGTTACACATAGCCGAAAAAAGTGGCAACTGAAAATTCGCAATTGCATATAGTAAAAAAGTGTAAGCTAGCCGAAAAAAGTGGTAACGGAAAATTCGCCGTTACATATAGTGAAAAGTGTTAGCTAGACGGAAAAGGTGGTAACTGATATTCGCAGTTACACAAGTGTTAAAATCAACTAGTTTTAGTTGATTAATAGCTGCTAGTCAGTAGTGTTAGAAAACCAGCTACTACCAATAGATATTTTGATACTACCAATAGATATTTTGATACTATCAATAGATATTTTGATACTACCAATAGATATTTTGATACTACCAATAGATATTTTGATACTACCAATAGTTATTTTAATATTACCGCACATTTTAATTGAATCTTTTGAAATATATAGTGACCAACCGATAGTGAACAACCGTAGTTGAACAACCGTGTTCAACAACCGTGGTCAATAAATAAATAGTTATAAAATTTCACGACTAATTAATCAGTCGAACCGCAGGCCACTCCCTTGCTATTTTAATTTATAAATCGTGCATTTTAATTTTGAACCCCAGTCCACAGTTTTCCAGCAACACACACAAAGACGGCAGTGAAAGTATCCTCCGGAACCTATAGGTGTAGGACGTGAGCGACTCGCGGAGTATCTTCGACAACATTTACTCCGGAGAGTTACTCCCGTCCGACACAGAGACTTTTTTATGTATAAAAAACATGCAGTTTTTCTAACGTAAGCACTATAGCTTTATGATATATGCAATGCAACGAATGGATTCAATCACAATCGTGGTTGCGTTTAACTTGGTTTTAAGGACTACATTGTCTATAAATGATTTGTAATGAGTTATAAAATTATGGGCTGGAAGAAGTCTATGACTAGCCAAAATATTCAAGTAATTCGATGAGATAATATCATAATTCTCAGGTTATATATTAATATTAATGTCACTCAATATTGCTACAGTTCTAAACGATAATAAGTTAGTAAGGCTTTGATCTGGTGAATCAATAAACTCACTTATGTCTCTTGTAGAAAGACACGCGTATATAGCTAATAAACCCAAGTAATTACCAATTA